TTTAATCGAAGATGAATTTAAACTTGTGGATCCAGTTAATATTTCTGTGCGTAGCTAATATTGCCTTCACCTGCTGTGGAATAGTTTTAAACACATTGGTGGTAGACAGTTTTTTGAAGTCGTCGCGATATCGAAAGAAATTATGTCATTTCATGATTATAGTGTTGCCGTGTTTCGATTTCCTGGCACTTATAACGACACATCCTGCATTCCTGCTTTATCTGGTTTCTTGGTGGACTGAGGATTATAATTTATTGAACAAAATATGGATTTATGCACATTGTACTTTCATAGCCGTTGGATTTTCCTTTTATTCCTTGCTGGTGATGAACATTGAACGGTATCTGGCCGAGTATTATCCCATGTTTCATTGGAATTTAGTGACCAGACGAAACCTGCTAACACTTCTCGCCATATTATTCCTTCTGCATACTACGGTAATGCTAATAACTGCAAACGACTCGATAATTTCTAATACAGCACGTTTGATAATTTTTATGGCCATTGCATTTCCACTATTTATGTTTGTCAATTACAAATTATTAAAAATTTCAAGAAAACTTCGTTGGAACAACAGAATATCACCAGAGGAACAAGCGACGAAAAATTGGGAAAACATTTCTACTTCTTTGCTTGTAGTTGTCTGTCTTGTAATACTGTCCATTCCATCTGCTGTTTTCCTTGCATTTAGTTTTGTTGAGAAATAAACAATCCAAAATCCAAGGTTATGTTCCGTTTGGAAATGTTCTTTGTATACGACGAACATCACATTTAACTGTTTTTTACTTGTGAAGAACAACATTTTACGCAGGAAAGAATAATAATAATTTTTATTTGTACACGTATACAATTACATAGGGAAAAAATACAAGAAAGATAGAAAAATTTACTGTAAAATAATATGAAGCAATCAAAAATAATTTAAGGCGCTTTTTGAACCTTTTTTTTATCTAGCAATTTCTCAGGGACTCCTCAATAGAATGCCATAAATGTGGACCACGGTATGTATATATACATATATATATATATATATATATATATATATATATATATATATATATATATATATATATATATATATATATATATATATATATATACACCGGTCCTATTAAACTAGTACTGGTGTTCAAGTTATCGCAGACAGCAGCGCGTCAAATTATAAACTTGTAATTCTGATTGGAAATAAATAAATATTTTTTTTTAAATATAATATTTGTTTCTTTGCCAGGGCGATAACGGGTGACATACAAACGATATGATCAATGATATCGGTATTTGCCTCTGATATCGCTTTTCAACTCGCTATATTTGTCGGTGTCAAAACAAAGATGGCTGACTCATGGTTCGTGCATGTTTTAATGACCGATGCTGACATCTTTAATATCGAAGAAAACATCGCATCAGAAAGCGAAAGACAGACAGGGACCTGCCGGGCCGCTATTATTTTTTGTCTATTTTTGTTCAGTTATATCTCTTAAACTTAATTAAATCTATTTTTTAATAATTGTTTCTTTTGGGCAATGATTAATTTTAGAAACAATAAAGGCATTTAGAAGCACAAGTATGTGATAAACAGATTATCATAATCGGGGTGAGGTGATATCAGTTTTATCCCTGCGTTAACTAGCTGTTGACATTAAACTATAATATAAAATAAACCAAGACAATAAAATGTTTTTTATTACTATACAGTTTCGTACGTGGAGTTATACACGCGGTCTCCGGATCTAAAATGTCTAAAACGCTAAGAACAAATTATATAATGATGCGTAAATATAGAGTTATGCATCAAGTCATTTCCTTATCCTCGTGTTGTTCTATTGTCTAAAGCAATTATAAATTTTAGTGCTAAAAACTGTTCGTTCGTTTAAAAACAAATATGATCTGTATTAAATAACACCATCAAAATAATCACGTTATAAAGATTTAAGTGCACATTTGCTAGAATGGCGGCATGCGCTCACAACTTAATTTCGCTTACATTTACAGTCGACAATTGAGGCTTGTAAATTATGAACAATTTCTCCCATAGGCATAAATTACATCTATCTCTTGCTGAGTTGTATGCATTTGCGGTCAGACCTATACGTGGTTTTATCCGACTCCCCGTTGTCCAACTTGTCAGTTTTAACTGTGGCTTAATACATAGGCCTACTACTCCATGCACGATTCATTTAATCATCGACCATTTACAAACAATTTTTGCTTTATACAATTGCATTTCTTGTCATATCATTTTTCTTGGCCGTTGTCTTTTGAAGACTTTACGAAGAAAATGTTGTGCATTATAGGTCTCCTACTGATTCTCAGCTTCTGGCCTCAATTTAAACGCATGCTAAAAATTGATTGCGTGACAATTGCAGAAAATAATTTAGCTGCCAAACAACGGCAGGTGCTTAAGTGAAACGAAGACAGACAGCTGCGCTGTGAACGATATTCATCACTGAAAAATATCAGGGTAACTTGGATCCTTTGAGCGAAGGCTGAAAGCCCATCTTTCCCAACGAATAACTTCGCTCGAAATGTCGGAGTTATGATTATATTTTTCAGGTAGTCATATATATATCCTGCAAACCGAAACATCTCTTTCCTTTCTTTTTTAAACCTGATTATTTTTGTGTGTGTTGGTGTTATGTACTCAGGTGAATACGATGTTTGCGACGTAACTCCGAGTATGCATCCACACCGGGCAAGCTGAAAAGTTAGCTTGGCCACGGTGGGAACACGCGACCTTTGAGATACTAATTGTCAAGGACTTGCATGGCACTGATAATAAAATTTTTGTTCTTTATCTTTGTCGCTCTTAAGCTATGAAATGTGACTCATTTGGGGGTTGCGTCAATTAAAAATGCTTTGGAAACCGCAAACGACGTATGAGAAAATTGCAATTTAAAATATGATCTCTCGACGTTCATTTCCGAATAGGAGCTGCATTACAGTTGATAATGAGCTTTCCTCATGCTGTACATATAGGCAATAGCTGAACGAAAGGGTAGAATATAACTAAGTTTGTGTCGGATTGCATGTGTAGTTGTTGAGGTGATAAGCACTTTAACTTTTTGGCAGCTTATTCTGTAGTGAGCCATTTTATGTCTTCATATGCTACAGTTTGAAAATATCATTAAATACAAAAAGCAATTCACACCTATCGTTCGAAATTTTGATTGGGTATAGCAAACATAAAGCATTACTTTGACCAGGTTAATGCGTGTCTGACATTCAGGATTTCAGGTTATTTCCCCTTCTCGCCAGTAATAAAGGGAAGAAATCGAGCTAATCCTCTTGTGTTCTTCTGTGTATATTTATAATTGTAAAAATATTGATAAAAATAGATATAATGATCCGAAAAATCTGCTCTTGAATCGTGTTGAAGACGAGGAGTAGAAGAGTTTTTCTATTTCTTTTGAAATGTAACAAGAAGATATTAACCAGTAAGCAATTTTATCCGAAAGATCGATATTGAAATTCTCCTAACATGTAATCTGTGATGTCACACGCATGGTTTTTTTCTCATTCATCAGGAACAAGTTGAAATTTTTGAGCTGGCGAAGGAACAAATACATTAAAAATTAAACTTAAGAAAGTGGGGGACAATGCAGAAAATCTAACAAAAATAACCAATCGTGATAAGGAGAAGAAATTACTGTTGTTTTGCTGCACTTTATATAAACCAGATTAATTTGGCACAAAAGATGTTGAGTCCAGGTTTCCGTCAAGTTGTTTTTTTTGTTTTCATTTGTTGAAACTATCATTAGGCCTATATATATATTTTTGCTGTTTCATCGAAGATATGTCAAGCAGTTTATATTCAAGATACGTTTATTTAAGAATGTAAGATACTTCCTTAACGAAATTTGTTTAGCTTTTGTAGCTTTAGTATTTTATTTTTTGTGTATTCTTGTAGCTTTTTGATGTTTTTGCGCGTACGTATCCCAATCATATTGAAATGTTTGTTTATTTTATTTATTTAGCTTTGCCAACTGGGACAGGGTTACCACAACAGCATATGCCAAATTTTTGTCAGCCTCTTTACCTTCCCACCCTGTCAACTTTCCCTGTGGAGAAGGAAAATTTGAAATGTTTAGAGCGTTGACTTTTTGACAGACAGGGTGGGTCAGAGCGTCGACTTTCACTCATTTTACATGAGGACTGCGTTCTTTAAGTCACATTGAGCAAGTTCTCACTGAGACAGCCCAGCACACTAACTGGCCCCTCCAGTCGGCAATCCCCCCCCCCCCACTGTAAAGTCCCTAAGAACTACCTGCAGTGTGTTGTCAACCAGCAATTATATATGAAAGTGAGAAAATGATGTTTTTGTTAAGTTTCTGAGATATTTCACTTTGTTTGGTACGCAAATATCCGGAATTTACGTCAAAGTAAAATTGTATATCTTATTCATTATCGAGTTTAATTCATTAAAATGAAGTTTTGGGTTAGGGGAGTATTAAATATACCTATGTAAAACACCATTTAGCCTTTTGATTTCATGATATTTAACTGTACCTTACATTCTTTGATCATATGTGACGTGATTTCCAGACATTTGCATATCAATAAAACTGAAATAACTCAGAGACAAAGTGAGCAAACGAAAATCTTCAAAATAAGCTATTATATTATTTCAAAGATTCTTAAGAATGAGATGATAAAAATAATTGAGGTTATGTGCACTTTAAATCATGCATATACATGCTGGTAGCTGCAGTGATACAAACTTGCCGAGTGGAACTTCTCCAGGTGTTGATAAAGAGTGAGTGATCAATGAGATCGAAAGCCTTCCTGTAATAAAAAAGAAGGACTCGCACGGAATTTCCTGTACCATCGGTTCCTTTAGCCCAGTTGTGCAACATAACTTTGGTATTCCTCCAAACTGGTGAGGGTCGATGCAATTAGGATGGCAGGGGCGACAAACTTTTCAATGACAAATTCTTCAGCCAGTGTGAGAGACAATAAGTAAGAGATATGGGTCTTAAGTTACTATTAATATCACATACAACCTTTTCCTTTGGAATTAGGATAATGTTCGCAAACTTCCATAAGCTTGGTAATAATTGATGGCGGAGTGAACAGTTGATCAAGCCAGAGATTGGGTAAAGTGAAATCTCGGCATATTCCATATAGACAAAATTAGGAACTTCATCAGGACCTGCTGCTTTACAGGTATTTAGTAATTTGAATTTTTTATATGTGTCCCACGGTGTAGTGATGTCACGAGGTGGATTAGACATACTTTTGGTTTGGTCGTCATTAGGGTTGAAAGGATGAAATTCCTGCATGGGTTCTAGAAAGGCGTTGTTAATAGCATTAGCCAAATCGGCCAAAGGCAGGTGTTCAAAGTTCTCTGATTGGATACAATCCTGTAGGCTTGAAAGGGAAACCATTCCACTGATGGGTTTTACTGCGCGCCACAAGTGTTTCGGGTTAAATTGTTTTAAATTGTATACTTTTGTCTTATAATAATTGGCCTTGCAAGTTTTCGATTTCCTACTAACCCTATTTCGATAGAATTTGAAGAGGGTATTATTCCCGAAGAAAAAGGCACGCTGTCGAAGTTGTATGAGACGAAGCAAATCCTCGTTGATCCACGGGTGGTCGTTAGGATGAACCAAAAAGGCGTTTTTCAGGCAATATATAATATAACCAGACACAGTACTAAAATGCAGTGCCCGCCTACAAATAAAAGTTTCGGCGTTTCCGCCTACATGCCCAAGTAAATTTATATCTCTAGTTCTATTAACCGTGGTTGTATATAGCACACTAAACATTGTCCTGTCGGCCGCCAGTAGGTCCGTACGTTAGTATCAAAACTGCGTTTTAAAGCCTTGAAAATAAAATATTTGGAGCTCTAAATACAATCAAAACGAGGAGAAAAGTGAGACGAATCCACTGGCAAACGACGGAAAACGAGAAAACCAACAATTCCAAAGTTATCGAGGATCAAACGGACTGCATTTTAAATTATTTTAATAATTTTGAGCGAGTTTGTCAACAATAAACGCATTCTAAAGTATCTTTGCATTTTCCAAAATAATATTTTTTCGACAAAAACAGCCTTATTTACAACATTTTGCTGACACCAAAAACTTTTCGTTCAAAACAGCCCAATTTTTCAGATAAAAATACCCCCTCCGTAAAAAAATATAATATCTGCAATACATGCGGCAATATCTTACGATTTCAAAACCACCTTGGATAAATAACGAAATTTGCAACACTCCATTGGGTAGGAAATATATAAAAGTGTCATACAATGTTTTCTATATAGTTTAGGTACTCTTATTAAAGCAGCCGAGACCTGGGGCCGGTTGTATAAAACTCTTAATCACTTTTTTAATCACTATTTTGTAGTTAAATAGTGATTAACTCTCAAATACGTGCTTCTTATTGGATGACGTTTGCACTTAATCATAGTTAACTTTAATCATTTTTTTATACAACCGGCCCCAGACACTGCAGAAACTAGACGTCCAAAGTATCAGAAATTCTGACACTTTCAAATGCTTCTAAATCACAAATACACTGAAAACTGCAGAGACCGCAGACTACCGAAGTATCAGAAATTCTGATACCTTCAAACGCGGCTAAATCACAAATACACAAAAACTGCAGAGACCGCAGACTACCGAAAGTTTCAGAAATTCTGACACTTCCAAATGCTTCTAAATCACGAATACACTGAAAACTGCAGAGACCGCAGACTACCGAAAGTATCAGAACTTCTGATACCTTCAAATGCGGCTAATTCACAAATACACTGAAAACTGCAGAAATTAGACGTCCAAAGTATCAGAAATTCTGACACTTTCAAATGCTTCTAAATCACAAATACACTGAAAACTGCAGAGACCGCAGACTACCGAAAGTATCAGAAATTCTGACACTTTCAAATGCTTCTAAATCACAAGTATACTGAAAACTGCAGAAACCGCAGATTACCGAAAGTATCAGAAATTCTGATACCTTCAAATGCGGCTAAATCACAAATACACTGAAAACTGCAGAAACTAGACGTCCAAAGTATCAGAAATTCTGACACTTTCAACTGCTTCTAAATCACAAATACACTGAAAACTGCAGAGACCGCAGACTACCGAAGTATCAGAAATTCTGATACCTTCAAATGCGGCTAAATCACAAATACACTGAAAACTGCAGAGACCGCAGACTACCGAAAGTATCAGAAATTCTTACACTTTCAAATGCGGCTAAATCACAAATACACTGAAAACTGCAGAGACCGCAGACTACCAAAAGTATCAGAAATTCTGACACTTTCAAATGCGGCTAAATCACAAATACACTGAAAACTGCAGAGACCGCAGACTACCGAAAGTATCAGAAATGCTGACACTTTCAAATGCGGCTAAATCACAAATACACTGAAAACTGCAGAGTCCGCAGACTACCGAAGTATCAGAAATTCTGATACCTTCAAATGCGGCTAAATCACAAATACACTGAAAACTGCAGAGACCGCAGACTACCGAAAGTATCAGAAATTCTGACACTTTCAAATGCGGCTAAATCACAAATACACTGAAAACTGCAGAGACCGCAGACTACCGAAAGTATCAGAAATTCTGACACTTTCAAATGCGGCTAAATCACAAATACACTGAAAACTGCAGAGACAGCAGACTACCAAAAAGTATCAGAAATTCTGACACTTTCAAATGCGGCTAAATCACAAATACACTGAAAACTGCAGAAACTAGACGTCCAAAGTATCAGAAATTCTGACACTTTCAACTGCTTCTAAATCACAAATACACTGAAAACTGCAGAGACCGCAGACTACCGAAGTATCAGAAATTCTGATACCTTCAAATGCGGCTAAATCACAAATACACTGAAAACTGCAGAGACCGCAGACTACCGAAAGTATCAGAAATTCTGACACTTTCAAATGCTTCTAAATCACAAATACACTGAAAACAGCAGAGACCGCAGACTACCGAAAGTATCAGAAATTCTGACACTTTCAAATGCGGCTAAATCACAAATACACTGAAAACTGCAGAGACCGCAGACTACCGAAAGTATCAGAAATTCTGAAACTTTCAAATGCTTCTAAATCACAAATACACTAAAAACTGCAGAGACCGCAGACTACCGAAAGTATCAGAAATTCTGATACCTTCAAATGCGGCTAAATCACAAATACACAACAAGGGGGAATTTCGTTCATGACCAATCAGCGCTTTTTTTTACATTTTTGCCCTAAGCTAATCAGAATGCGTAAAACGCTTCATCACATGAAATTTGTAAACAAACATATGGGGTTACTTCAGAGCTTTCTGCAAGCGGATTTTTGTTTTTTTTGCCATGAAATTAATATATGTTCTTCTTAAAGGTAGGTTACAGTCGCATCTGCGCATGTGCTGGACATTTGTTTATGTGGGGACACACAGGAAGTTGTCATCCTCTGTTTGTGCTCGGTCCAGTCTCATTTCTGGCAATAACACGCGCGTTGTTTTTATCGCAATTGAATTTAATGCCCAAGGAGCGAAGAAGTTTCCAAAATATTTTGAGCTTTTTTGAGCGACAGTCCGTCAAATAACGAGTTATTGAGGCAACATGAAGAGTAGGAAAGGATACTACGCTAACAGGGATGCTTCGAAAGTGTATCAAAGTGTATCTATTTTATTGTTTTCCTCGATGGAGAGCGCATCCATTT